CATGTTTATTGCAGTGTAACTCACAATAGCCAGGTGATGAAAACAACCTAAATGTCCATCTGTGGATTAATGGATAAAGATGTGGTATATATATATACACAATGAAATACTGTTCAGCCCTGTGAAAAAGAAAATCCTGGCTTTTGTGACAACATGGACAACATTGGGGGCATTATGCTAAGTGAAGTAAGTCCGACAAAGAAAGGTAAATACTGTCTGATCTCACTTATTTATGGAATCTAAAAAAGCCAAACTCATAGATGCAGTGAGTAGATTGGTAGTTACCAGGGACTGAGGGTTGGGGAAATGGAGAGATGTTGGTCAAAGGGGACAAATGTTCAGTTATATGATCAAATAAGTTTTTGGTATCTAATGTACAGTATGGTGACTGTTGTTAACAATACCATGTTAAATATTTGAAAGTTACTTAGAGTAAATCTTAAATGTTCTCACCTCAAAAAAGAAATGGTAATTATGTGAGTTGATGGAAGTATTAGGTAATGCTACAGTGGTAATCGTTACAATATTTATATGTATCAAATCAATACCTTCTGTACCTTAAACTTTCACAATGTCATGTGTCAATTATATCTCAATGAAGCTAGAATACAAGTAAAGGCAAGGAAGTGACAGTAAATAGAATGATACTTGCTGTATTTATGCAGGTAAAAGTTACATATCAAGGATATATAAAAAACTCTTTCAAATACATAAGACCCAAATAACTGAAAAAAAACATGAGCAGTCTATGAACAGGCAATTCACAAAAGGAGAAATGCAGTAGATTCTATTATTTATAGTATTTATGTTCTATAAAGTTGCTGCAAACACTGAATTAGAAAATACTGAGTCTTGCTCCAAGAGGAAGTACAGAGTTAAGTCCCTTCACGCCTCTGGTCACATTTCATCAACTCTTCCATACATAACCTTGCTATATGTGTGTTTCTATTTAAAGACTACTTATTTGATATGTATTTCTTACAAATAATTTATGCTCTATTTCTTTATAATAAAACACTAACAAAGGGTTTAACGTTTTCCTGACTCTGGGTAATGTGACCGTAAGTTTGTTAGGACTTCAGCCTCACGATAATGCTGTGCACTATGCTTTTATTTTATCAGGTGTCATGTCATGAATCCACAAATTTAGCTAATTTTTATGTTTTCTGTAATTTCACCGCCTATTAAAGATGTTACTTTATACTTTCTGGTGCAGCCTCATGTACAGATCAGTAAATGTTCTCTTCCTTTTTCTGGATGTAATGTATTGTCGATTCACTAACACTGAACTCACAGTAACAGCAGTATAACTCATGCTTGAGTGAAGCGTGTCTAACATACTTATGTTCTCTGTAAGGCACATCATAGTCTTCTTACACTTAAGAACAAAAGACAGCATTTCATCATTGTGCTTGGGGGCCATTTTATACAGCAAAATCACCACTAAAAGACACAAAAATATCAAAAAAAAGTGACAGCATATAGACTGAAGAAAGGACACTTTACAGTATGAGAGCTGAAACAAGAAGGTAGAGCATCACCTTCTGCTGGGAATATGCCTGTCTGGAGACTCAAATTTTTTGCTACTCTGCACCTGTCTGTGAATGACTGCAAAAGCACCTCGAGTACTGATTTGGGGGTTACAAATAAATGTTAGTGAGTAAGTGAATTCGCAAATACAGAATCCAGGAATAATGAATCAACTGTATCTTTAAAAAGGAACAAAGGAATGATAAGCAAAAATGAAAGATGGTGCTGTGGAGATAGGAAAGTGTTTGGATGTCTTGGGAATTGAACGCAGATAATTGCAAGTTATTCTGGCTTTTGAGTTGAGGGGAGGGATCACAAGTGTTCATTATATTCTCATGCTCTATTACATTATATCACATTGTGTCATGTTGTGTTGCCATATTATATTATATTATTATATTGTTATATGTTATTTAGTTATATGTCTGGCTGAAATATGACAATATAGGACAGATAGGACTACTTAAAAACTTAAAACTTCTGAATGTCAAAAGCTAGGAGAAATATTAACATTGCACAAAATAGGAAAGGAGCAATATTTCCAGAATACTAAGAAAATTCAATAATAGTAAAAGAAAGGCAAAAAAGTAGAAAAAATGTGAATGATTAATTCACAAAAGAAGAGATAAAGCCAGATAATAAATATAAGTATTCTACCCAATGAAAAGGGATTTTTTTGTTTTGTTTTTGCCATGTCACTCGATAAATATTTCTTGTATGAATAAACAAATGAATGAAAAGATGCTCAGTGTCACTAGCAGTCAGGATCATGCAAACTAAATAACAATTAAATACAATTATCTTCAGTCATACTATACAATTGAAAAGCGCAGTGAAAACCAGTGTAACAGGATGTGAATAATGAATGCTCTGATATGCCGCTCATAGGATTCTGGAACTTATCGATGCTGTCATCAAAAACTTTCTATTCCTATTACTCCACTGAAATTGTGGTTGCTAAGGTTAAGCAGTAATCCCCTTGTAGCCAAATCTAATGAACCCCTCTGTCTTTCTCTGCTGACACCTAACTTTCTCATCTTGACCATATGGCTTCTTAAAATAGTCTCCTCTTTTGATTTTCACATACTGCCCTTCTCTACCAGTTTTTCTTCTTCCCCATTGGCCATTTTTTTTTCTCATTTTCCTTCAAGTACTCTCATTCTCTAATGGAAATGTTTGGGGTTTCTCGAGGCTTGGTTCTAGGCTTTCCTTTCTTCTCTATACTGTATTTTGAGGTCTTCTTACCTAGACTCGTATATTTAAATAGAGTCGTTGTGGTAATGATCACAAATATCTGTCCTTTCCTCTAAGTCTTAAGACTAATTTTCTTCAACTACCTACTTGTTTCCATTTGAAGATTTCACAAACATCATACACTTATCTTGACTGTCATAGCACTCTTTTCTCTCTTAAATGTATTTTCCCATAGTATTCCTTATTTAAATAAATGGGATCCAAATTGATCAAATTCTCAAGCCAGAAACTGAGTCATCTTCGAATCCTGCTTTTTCTTCTTCTTTTTTTCCTACTACCTCCTACTCATCATCCAAAAAGTCAACAAGTACCATTGCTTCAACCTCCAAAGTAAATCTTAAATCCTTTTTCTTCTCTCCATCGCTACTGCCATCATCTTATTCCAAGCTACTATCATCCATTGACTGGATTACTACAGCAATCTCCTAATAACTACTTAGATCACCGCCCACTAAACATTTTCCTCATTATAATTGGATCACATCAGCCCCCTGCTTAAAGTTCACAATGGCTTCCAAGTATAATTAGAATAAATGCCAACTCCATTCTATGTCCTATGAAGCCTTTCATACGCTGTCCTTGGTCTACTTCAGCCTCACTCAATACCACTGTTCCCCATACTTACTAAGTTCCAGCTGTGCTAGTGTTCTTTCAGTTTCTTTGCAAAGCACTTTAAGCACTTTCTCATGAGTCTTTGCATAGTTTTCTCCCTTGACCTGAACTGCTTTTCCCCAACTTTGTATGATCTTATCTCAAATATCCCCTATTCAGAGAGGCTTTTCCTGATCATTCTGCCTACCTCTGTTATTCACCCTATTAGGTCCATTATTATTACCTTTAGAGCATGATTTGTACTTCTCATACATTTCTAATTTGTTTACTGTCTTTTTCCCAACTATAATGGAAATACTGAGTGAAACACTGAATGAAAGAAGAGCATAATACTGAATGAAAAAAAGAGTCTATTTCATTCCTTACCCTTTCCCTAGGGTCTAGTTCAGTGCCTGGAAATTAGTAGGCAATCAATAATTATTTTACTGACTTTATAAATATATATTTTTTAAAAGTAAACAACCAAACACGCATAAATGTATCTTACTCTAATAAAATTACTACCAGACCAATGCAAAGTGTCCTTATTTGTAGAATAATAGACATGGTTTTCCCATGATAACTGTATACTTGAGTGCTTATTGGTTAGAGTAATAAAGTGAAATCCTCCCTAAGATGATGAAATTTAGGAATACATTACCTGAGATACACACACATGGGCAATATACACATATATACATGTGTACACACACACACACACACACAGTAGGTAACCTTAAGTATCAAGAATGTGGGTGATTTTTTGTATTATTTTACTCTTCTGTATGTTATAAATATTCATATATAATAATAATTACTCCCATGCAAAAGTTTCTATGTGTCAGATATTGTGCAGAGTGTTTCATGTGCATTATCTTATTTAATCTTCCCCTAAACTCATAAGGTAGGTAATATTATTTTTGTTATTTTATACATCGGTGAAACTGAGGTACAGGGTGGTTAATTGTCTAATAGTCACACAACTATTATGTGCCAGAGATGGGGCTGATCCAACTTCAAAATTCATGTTCTCAAACTCTATACTATACTTTCTTTCTAAAGAACACACATTTTTAAGAAAAACTACAACTAATAAACCTATTACAATGCTCACTTTTTATACATTGCTGGGATCTCACATTTCCAGATGTTTATCAAAAAATCTAATTTTGATTGACTTCCCTATAGAGATGAAATCTTTGATATCTTATAAACAATATAGAAAAGGTCTGTTTGTGTCCAGTGATTGTCTCTATGACAGAGGAGAGGACACTTGAACTCTAGATGGATCTGGGAGAAATAGTCTAAAGTAGACCACAAAAAGTAAGAGATTTCTTTTATGTCTTTTATTTTATCTTTACATTCATGTGCATTTTTATTCCACAAAAAGCTATACCTTTCTAAATATAAATATATTTTAAATTACCTATGAAATTGCTTTAAAATATCTCCCCCTGAAATGTTCAAGTAAACTGATTCAAAGAATTGACATCATGTCTATCCTGTGGCTTTGCAATCTATGTGCCACATGACACAAGTTTGAAAAAAAAAAAAGAGTAGTTGAAAGGATTTCTAAATTTTCCATCCCTTTATGGTTTTTAAGTATGATGATTATCTACTTTCAGGGTAACCTGCTCAGAGAAGGGGCAGAGGTGGTGACAGCAAATCCTTGGGCTCAATAAGAAGGCAGTGGCAATAGCAACAGAGGAGGATGACCCCTACCCAGGCCAGGCTGAGTCTGGAACTCTCGGAGTATCTGGAGTGCACCCCTGGCCTGCTCCCTGAACAGCCACAACTCTTTTCTATGGCCTGAGCTTTTATGACAGGTAAATAAATGAAATAGATTTTTAAATATCGCTTCTGCGTATTCCATGGTAAGACTAATTATCCACTTCTTTTGTAATATGTGACCCTATAAAATTTTCCTAAATTTTAGAATAAGGAAAATGTTTGTCTTTGGGGGAAAAAAAAATTTAATCAATGAGAATTCTATGGTACTCTATGATGTGGTCTTTTTTCTGTTTTGTTTTCAGCCTTTGTTGTTGAAGTTGTTACTTTTCCTCTTGGGAAGTAAGATTAAAATTTTAACTGTGATAATATTACATCTGCAGATCAGTTTTCTCATTTTTCCCAGATAATTATCTCTCCCCTTTTTCTATATAATCTCTAAACTCTCATTTGATGTTTATCCTAAGTCATCTCTTCTCTGTGTGTATTTTGAAAATTGAATATCTCTCCTCCGATTCTCTTTGGAAATGGGCAGAGACATAACAAACCCTTAAGAGCTATTTAAAAACCTGAATGCATACCGCATTGTTCTATAAATCACTGTTGAACTCTGGGACCTTAGAGAGATTAAACACCTAGTTCATGATCACTTTCCTTTTGGAAATCCTCACTTCAATTTAAGCTAATTTTGTCTTTGATGTTTTCCTGTGTGAATGAAAAGGAAGTGTTTCCATTCTGAGAAGTTTACTGTATCTGGAATCATTAAATACTACAAGCTTCATAATCAAGAAGGATTTTTTAATTCTCATCTTTCTGGGCATGTATAGGTTGGCTTTATGAGTTGTTCTTGAAGAACTCACAAGCTAGAACCTATTTGCCTATGTGCCTAATTTTAAATCAGACACAATATAAAAACAAAGAAGTTTTTCATTAACTGAAGACTTTCAAGATATACTATAGTTTTTCCAGGTTTTCTGTTCCTGAAGGGGTGATCGTGTAAAACAATTTAAGAGAATGGATGAGTGTTTGGTGACTAGCAGTTCTATTTTTCTCTCTGCATGGTATAGGAAAGGGGAGCAAAGATGCTGCAACTTAACAAATTTCTTGGCACCTGACAATAAAAAAACTCCATATCAACATGTCAATAGGCAGAATAAACTTTTCTGTTACATTGAACTCACTAAGAGATTAGTTTCATTCTGACAAATAATCAGGAACAAGACAAGGATGTCCACTTTCACTGCAGCAATCAAACAAGAAATAAAAGCCATCCAAATGGGAAAGGAAGAAGTAAAACTGCTATTATTTGCAGATGACATGATACTATATGTAGAGGACCCTAAAGATTCTACCAAAAACCTATTAGAACTGATCAACGAATTCAGTAAAGTAACAGAATACAAAATTCATATTCAGAAGTTGGTTGCATTTCCATACAACAATAATGAACTATCAGAAAGAGAAATTAAGAAAAAATCCTAGTTACAATAGCATCAAAAATAAATAAATAAATAAATAAATAAAATATCTAGTAATAAAATTAACCAAGGGAAAGGAACTATACTTTGAAAATTATAAGATATTAAAGAAACTGAAGAAGATACAAATAAATAGAAGCACACACAGTGTTCATGGATGTGAAGATTTAACATCTTTAAAATGTCCATACTACCCAAAGCAATCTATAGATTCAATGCAATGCCTATCAAAATACCAATGGAATTTTTCACAGAAGTAGAATAATCCTAAAATTTATATGGAATCCTAAAGATGTCAAATAGCCACAGCAATCTTAAGAAAGAAGAACAAAGTCAGAGGTATCACACTGCCTGATGTCAAACTATACTACAAGGCTATAGTAATCAAAACAGCATGGTGTTGGCATAAAAACAGATATATAGATCAGTGGAACAGGATAGAGAGCTCAGAAAGAAACCCATTCCTATATGGTCATTTAATCTATGAAAAAGGAAGCAAGAAAATACAATGGGATAAAAACAGTCTCTTCAATAAATGGTGTTGGGAAAACTGGATAGATAATATGCAGCAAAATGAAACCGGATCACCTTTTTATACCATATACAAGAATAAACTCAAAATAGATTAAAAACTTAAATGTAAAACCTGAAACCATAAAACTCCTAGAAGAAAACATAGGCAGTAAACTCTCTGACATTGCTCTTTGTAATATTTTTTTTTTTCTGATATACTCCTCAGGCAAGGTAAACAAAAAAATAATAAACAAATGGGACTACGTAGAACTCAAAAGGGTTTGCACAGCAAAGGAAACCATCAACAAAATGAAAAGACAGCCTACTGAATGAGAGAAGATATTCACCAATGATACATCTGATAAGGGGTTAATATCTAAAATTTATGAAGAATTCATACAACTCAACACCAAAATAACAAACAATCCTATTTAAAAAATGGGCAGAGGACCTTAATAGACATTTCTCCAAAGAAGACATACAGATAGCCAATAGATATATGAAAAGATGTTCGATGTCAGTAATCAAAGAAATATAAATTAAAACCACAATGAGATATCACCTCACACCTCTCAGAATGGCTATCATCAACAAATCAACAAACAAGTATTGGCAAGGATGTGGAGAAAACAGAATCCTAGTACACTGTTGGTGGGATTGCAAATTGGTGCAGCTGCTATGGAAAATAGTACGGAGGTTTCTCAAAAAAAAAAAAAAAATAGAACTACCTTATGACCCGGCAATTCTACTACTGGATATTTATCCAAAGAAATTCAAAACACTAATTTAAAAAGATACATGCATCCCTATGTTCACTGCAGTGCTATTTACAATAGTAAGATACGAAAGCAACTTAAGTGTCCATCGATAGATGATTAGATAAAGAGGTAGTACATATATACCATGGAATATTACTCAGCCATAAAAAAGAATGAAATCTTAACATTCGTGACGATATGGACGGACCTAGAGGGTATTATGCTAAGTGAAATAAGTCAGACTGAGAATTACCATATGATCTCACTTATATGTGGAATCTAAACAAAATAAACAAACAAATAAAACAGAAACATACTCATAGATATGGAGAACAAACTGATAGTTGCCATACGGAGGGAGGTTGAGGGGCTGGATAAAAATGCTGAAGGGATTAAGAAGTACAAATTGGTTGTTACAAAATAATCAGAGGGATGTAGAGTACAGCATTAGGGAGTATAGTCATTAATATTGTAACAATATGTATAGTGTCAGGTGGGTACTAGACTAATCAGAGGATAACTGTAAATTATATAGACCTCTAACCACTGTGTTGTACATCTGAAACTAATATAAAATAATATTGAATGTCGATTGTAATTGAAAAACAAAAATAATTTTAAAAAATAAAAATAAATTTTCTACCTTTAACTCCATAAAAAAAAAAAAGGAAAAGAAAAAAGAGGAAAAAAAAGAAATTTTCAGAGGAACCACAAAATCAAGTTTGCTGTTTTAGGATGATTATTCTAGCATCATTGGAAAGGATAATATAGAGATGAGAATAAATTCCAAGGGTCCACATTCAGATTCAACAAGAATTTAGCATATATGACAATACTTTCCTATACTATTTAACCTTTACAATATGTCCTCAACCTATTTTCTCATTTTTCCTTCCCTATACTGGATGCCAAACTATATTTTGGTGAAATCACTAATTCTTATATCCTATTTTGTCATTCAAGGTCTTTCTTAATTGCTTCTCAACCAAATTCATCACTTGCTTTTTAGCCCACCTGCCAAAAATCCACATTCTATCCATTCAGTGAACATACCATGTCTTGCCATGTCTCTTTGTTTCTGTTTATACTATTGTTGTTTTTAAATGTACCTAGGATTTGTTTTAATTAAGTATAAGACACATAGACATGGAAGTGAATGTTATGAATGAAGAAGCTTTTACTCACAGTCCCCTAGAAACATGTAGGGCCAAGGGGAAGCATGGGGGTCAATCAGGGAGCAGGGGAATGGGGAAAACATAGGCAAGAACCCTTATTGTTGGTTTCGTGGAAAGGCAAGACAATACAGGGTAAGGAAGTTTAGGATTGGCTAGTCTGAATAATTTCAGTAGGCTCTGGGGTTAGAGGCTGTCTGTAGTTGTCTGGTACCTGGCCCTGAGTGATTACAGCAGAGAGTGACCTAAAGTGTAAGAACCAATAAAGGAGGTAGTTGGGGAGTATAGACTTGAGATTGGTTGGTTTGCACATGAAAGGTATGCTCATGGGTGAGATGTTTGCTATCTGCAGGAATTAGCTAACCCTATGAGGGGCAGTCCCTTTCCAGTGATCAGCCAGGCCCCAGATACCAGAGCATCAAGAATACAAAAAATATGGAAATATAGTTAATACAATTTCCTCAGCTACTCTTACTATTAATTCATGATTTGAGGTCCAATTCAAATGTGGTTGTTTCTGTCAAGTCCTTCCCAATCACCACAGTGAAAATTAATTATGGTCCTCTCTTCACTGCCAGTCTTTTGTTTAAAATTCTCTTTAAGTACATAGAAGAGTTCTAATCTAATAATTAAGGTCTGTATAGGTTGCTATCCCCCATATATATATATATATTTTTTAAAAATACACAGAAAAGATATATTTGGTAATAAGTATTTCTAGAGAGAACCATACAGGATAACATGATAGCGTCAAGTCCATGAACAGTATTACTCAAGTAACCTCAAATCAAAGAATTATTATTGGTAGTTTCTTATCAAGAAAACAGGATACTGAGTTTATACATAGAGGAAGAATCCAAGTTTCTTTATATCTGTAAGTATAAATGCAAAAATATAAGCAAATAATGATATAGTTAACAAAATGTCTAATTGAAAATACAATGCCTACTTAGAAGTAAAAAAAAATTAAATAAATATTTTCAGCAGCTGTGACATCCAGCTACTGGCTTGACTGTTCTGTTTGCTTTTTAATTACTGAATTGAGTAATTTTGACATTATATAGACACAGCCTTACCTGTTGACGACACTACACTCGAGATGTGATCAACTCTTAAAGCAATGAATTGAACATACTTAGAAAGTATGACTTAAAGAACCCTAGATGTATTTAGTAGC